TGCAGGTACTCCTGCTCCTGCTCCTGCTCCTGCTCCTGCTCCTGCTCCTGCTCCTGCTCCTGCTCCTGCCTCTGCTCCTGCTCCTGCTCAAGCTCCTGCTCCTGCTCCTGCTCCTCCTTCTCGTCACAGTTGTCTGCAGTCGTTTCTTTCATCTTGGGATCCTCTCAACGACCCTCAAGCTCCTGTCACAGCCATGCGAGCATGGCGCAAGCTCCTGCGCTCAGACTTTGAGAGGTTCTCCTGCTGCTGCTCCCGCTCCTGCTCTACATCTGCTGAACACTCCTAGTCGACTGCCAATGAGCTCCTGTCCTGTCCTGTCCTGTCCTGTCCTGTGCTATCCTCTCACTTTCTCCCTTCAGTGACTCCGGCGGAGGCCCCACCGCTCTCTTCGCGATGCAGCACGGGGAGGAAGACGCTGAGCTCGACGCTGAAGCATTTTTACAGCTTGTGGAGGAGGTGAGGCTCAAGGAGGGAGGGAGAGGAGGAGGGAGGCAGTGAACTTGTGGACCTATCCCTTCCTCCCTCGTTCTCCTCCTCCCTCCTCCCTCCTCCCTCCTCCCTCCTCCCTCCTCCCTCCTCCCTCCTCCCTCCTCCCTCCTCCCTCCTCCCTCCTCCCTCCTCTCTCCTCTCTCCTCTCTCCTCCCTCCTCCCTCCTCCCTCCTTAATCCTCAATCCCTCCTTCCGCCGGGCCTCCTCTCGACGCTTACAATGCCACAGGTTGTGCCATGCCACCCGCCTTAAGATCTGAGCTGAATACTCAAAGCATCTCCACTGGATCACGTAAAGATGTAGTACTTTGAAGCTCCTTGCACGAGACCCTGTGGCTCTGCTGCATTTCATAGTCAAAACAAACTTCGACCAGGTTCAGTCTTAGTCGAACCGATATGATCCCGTTCCTGAACGGAGCCTCTGACCCCTTTCCCGTACTCCTCTCCTCCTCCGCCTCTGCCACCCGCTTCTTCCCCCGTCCGCACGCGTTCGCTTGCGACTCCCGCGCGAGCTGGACCTTGACCCTGGCCGCCAGGATGTTGTCCAGGCAGCTCCTCCTCGCCGAAGACACGCTGGGCAGGAGGGCAGGCGAGAGCTGGGGCTTGACAGGGGAGGAGGGAGGAAGGGAGGAGCAAGAGCTACAGGAGGGAAGGGGGGAGGGTCTTGAGGATCGGAGAAAGAGAGGTCGGGCAAGGAGGGTAGAGGAGAGGGAGACGCGGGACCAGGAGACGGGGGAGATAGAGCACATTCACTTGGTACTGATAGCACGAACATGCTTGTTGCGTAGTCCACAGGCGCGTGACGAGAGTGGAGAAGGAAGGAGAGTGGAATGGCCAGACATGAACCAAAGGAAGCAGGGGAGGGACTCCTTGAGGTCGTTGGCAACGTCGAGTCAGGCTGTACATCATCTCATATGCTGGATGTGCCACCTTTCTTTTCTCCACGTTGTCCATCTCAGGTGTGGGTCAGGGCGATCTTAGCTGATGAATCATCTCAGCACTTCACTGCTTGATGACTTGCAGGTCATGGACGACTCTTGTGACGACTGTGAGGGTGTCAGTGTGAACGTTGGGTGAGCTACAAGATTGATACTGGAATGCACAAAAATGCTGGGTCCCTCCCGGCTCCTCCTCGTCGCTTCCTTTATGGATCTTTATTCTATTATCTACATCATATACACTCCTTCTCTCGAACTCCATTCCTCGCGCTCCTTGATCACTCCTCTACTCCTCCTCCTCTGCCACCCGCTTCTTCCCCCGTCCGCACGCGTTCGCACGCGTCTCTCGCGCGAGCTGGACCTTGACCCTGGCCGCCAGGATGTTGTCCAGGCAGCTCCTCCTCGCCGAGGACACGCTAGGCAGGAGGGCAGGCGAGAGCTGGGGCTTGACAGGGGAGGAGGGAGGAAGGGAGGAGCAGGTGCCACAGGATGGAGGTGGGGAGGGTCGGGAGGAACGGAGAGGGCGGGCAGGGAGGGTAGAGGAGAGGGAGACGCGGGACCAGGAGACGGGGGAGATAGAGCACATGGGAGGGAGGGAGGGAGGGAGGGAGGGAGGAAGATGGAGGGTAGAAGGTAATGAAGCAAGCAGCTGCGTTGAAAGCAGGAGCAGGAGCGAGAAAAAGGGGGCGAAAAGACTCCCCTGTGGTAAAGAGTCACGAGGGAGCAAAAAAGAATGCGGCCTCCTAGTGGAGATTTTCTGTTCCTCGAGGAACTGCTAGTATCTCAGATACCTTGAGCCTGCCGAGTCCGTGAATAGAGAACGGACTAGTCGAAACAGTCGGATGCTCTTCTTGTCAGTTGTTCATAGCAAACAGCGTCTGACTCTACTTGCCTGAAGAACGCGCTGGCTCAGCTTCCAACATGCCCCATCTCTTCTGTCCCCATGCTCCCTCCTCCTGACTCGTCCCTCCCCTGATCGCCCTCACCTCTCCCGCTCTTCGCTGTCTGCCTTCACGTGTTTGCTATGACCTCGAAGCCTCAAAGCTGCCTTCTGGCATCGGAACTGTTTTCAGCTCCGGTTAGTAGGTGCTGCTCCAAGTGCTGATACAGGTGGATGAGAAGCCGATCAAACGGCAGCAAACCAGGGTTGTTACAGATCTATGAGAGCACAGAGTGAAGAACAGCCCAAGACTCAATCGGAGAGATCTTCATGTCCTAGCGAGCAGCTGTAGCCTGCCCTGAATGTTGTGATCTAGGAGACGCAGTTCTGCATTGTTCTCGTGAACTACTTGTTCTCGGACGGTGAATTTACAGAACTGATCGATGGTCACCGACATCGCTCACACGTCACACCCTGACTGCTTCCCCTTTCGTCCGTGTCTGCCCCCTCCCCTGCCTTCCCTGACCCTGCTTCCTCGTCACGATAGCACCTCTCGCGATGCATCAGCTGCTGATCCCAGTAGCAGCAGCAGTATCACTGATGTAGGCGCGCTACACAACAAGCGTGTCATGTTGCTCCCCTCCCGGCTCCTCCTCGTCTCTTCCTGTACGGATCTTTATTCTATTATCTACACCATATACACTCCTCGATCGTCATTATTCCAGCCCCCTCCTCTCCTCCTCCGCCTCCGCCTCCGCCATCTTCCGCTTCTTCCCCCGTCCGCACGCGTTCGCTTGCGACTCCCGCGCGAGCTGGACCTTGACCCTGGCCGCCAGGATGTTGTCCAGGCAGCTCCTCCTCGCCGAAGACACGCTGGGCAGGAGGGCAGGCGAGAGCTGGTGCTTGACAGGGGAGGAGGGAGGAAGGGAGGAGCAGGTGCCACAGGATGGAGGTGGGGAGGGTCGGGAGGAACGGAGGAGAGGTCGGGAAGGGAGGGTAGAGGATAGGGAGACGCGGGACCAGGAGACGGGGGAGATAGAGCACATGGGAGGGAGGGAGGTAGGTTAGCAGAAGCTGGGAGGAGGAGCAAGAGTTTCGTGCCAGGGACGAGGGCTTGCACTGCGGCAGTCTGGGATCACTGCAAGGCGCTGGGCAGATTTTCAACTACTCCTGTGCTTTTAAGAGGTGGGGAGAGGAAAATCCCCTTTTAGCAACGAGCGGAGACGAAGTCCGAAGGAGCTGTTATCGAACTCGGAGGCTCCTGAAAACAGATCTATTCGGCCCTGGAGGCTGCCTTTGGTAGTAAAGAGTCACGGGGTAGCAGCAGTCAGAAGGACTGAACTGGCTACCGACCCCTTCATGATCTCAAGATCGTTGCCGGTCACGGATTGATTTACAACGGTTTTAAAATGGCCCCAGTGCTCCCATGCCGGTACTGAGGAGTGACTGACCCGGCCCTTCCCGGCATTTCAGAGCCTCCGAGCCTTTGGGCCGTTTCACGCCGAGCCCAAAGCTCGAGTTTTTTCAGAAGTTTTAAATTCATTTGAAATTTACATGTTTTTAAAGCTGAAATTATCATGTGTAGCCCATGCTAAGGGTTCGATATTTCATAACAAACATCCCGGTATTTAAAGGCTATCATACAACCTAGGCTCCCTTTCAATCTGATTTCAAACGATTAGTTTGACCAACTGTAGCCTCCACCCACCCCTTCTTTTGTTGAATTAAATTAAGGGTACTCATTTTGCTGACAAACTCGACCGCAACGGTTCACCATCTCGACCTTTGGAATTAAATTGTACTTTTATGTCATTGGGCCAGATGATTTCAATTTGTTTGAGTAAAAATAGTACCACGCTTGCTGACAAACTCGACCATTGGGCTCGGCGTGAAACGGCCCTTTCAGTAGGAACATTGACGGTACTCCCGGGCCCGAGGTCTCATGCCGTTGTAAACTTACCAGTAATTGACGGAAATAACTACCAAATCTTTACTCAAAGTTAAGTTAAAATCAGTACGAGGACAATCAGGAGAGTCGAGGAGGCTTGACCATGACACTGTCGCACAGGCCAACCCTGAAAGTTGAGGCTGCCACGGACAACAGTCCGACGGTCGCAACAAGGACCTCGCGGGCCGGCAAACGGGAGGCTTAAGTGTACACCCCCAGCCCGGGCAGGGCGGCACCGTGACGGTGACCCGGCGTACTGGGCCCGGCGGGGCGGGTGAGTCGGCGCCGGGGCCTGACACAGAACTTCGAAAGTTACTGAGGTTCCCACAGGCCGGACGTGAACCTCTGCTCAGCATTCAGTCGCTATGGCAGGTGTGGAGAGCTGAGCTGCGCGATAGGCAGAGAAGCTGAGGAGGAGAAAGAGCTGAGGAGGAGGAGTATGAGGGATCATCGAGGTCCTCAAGGTAGATGAGATAGACGTCAAGGTGCAGGAGGTAGAGGCCGCAGGAGAGAGTGGAGAGAGAAAGTGGAGCTTCAGCGAAGGTCAGATCTATAGGGGACAGCTTATCGTACGGGGTTGGAATGTCTGTCGAATTCAAAACTATCCTGAAGCCGAAGTTCTGCTACATGCGAGTTCAACTGAGCATTGCGAATGTTCCATCGACATTTCTTGATCTTCGGATGTACAAGAGCGTAGTTATCTCTTCCATCCACGACATGTACGGCGATGTTGGGCTGCCAGGAACGATCGACGTGATTGAGATGATGGAAGACAAATCCGCGATCATCCGCGCTCCATTCGAGTGGGTGCTCCTTCTCCCATCAACTTATCCTCCGCCTTAATCTCCTCCTCACCTCGACCGCTAGAACCTTCTCCTCCTCCTCTTCCTCCTCCCCTTCTACCACATCTACCTCCTCCACTCCTCTTCACCAGTCTTCCTTTCGTTTGTCTTGCTATGCACCTGCACCTGCACCTGCACCTGCACCTGCACCTGCACCTGCACCTGCCCCGGTGTTTCCCTCACCAGTCCAGCAGGAAAGCGACAGAGCTCAGAAACGCTCTGTCCTTCAAGTCAAAGTTTGACGGCAACGAGTGCGTTCTGCGAGTGCTCAAGGTACATCGGAAGAGCTGAGAAGTCTTCCTCGCTCTGATCCCATGACAGGTCGCTGGTACTCTGATCTCGGTGCAGAACACTGGGACTTTCCAGCATCAGTCGCTACCAGAACCGTGTGCGTGATGGTTGTGCTGAGGAGGAGGAGAGGGGGGGTTGGAGAGTGGAGATGCTCTCTCAGGGAGGAACGTGCTGTTCTGATTGTGAGGAATGTTTTGCTGAGGATTCTTTCCGCGCAAGTTAGGTGCTTGATGATTATGTTCAGAACTTTTACCAGGCACTATCACGTGAAACCCTCCATCTACAAGTATCGCTACGGGTGCGCATCAAAGGGAGTTTGCTAGTTAGATGCAAACATACACATAGGTCAAAGAGATTTTCTTTCCTTGGCTCTTTTTCTTCCTCCTCGTCCCCGTCCTTTCTCCCCGCTAAAAGCTTCAGTCCTTCCTGCTCGATCGCTTCTTTGGCTGTAGGGATAGTCAGCCAATACTCCTCGGATATCATGACTAAAACGGCGGCGGCGGAGCAGGAGCAGGAGCAGGAGGCAGGAAGGAGGAGAAAGGAGGAAGAGAGGAGGCAGGATGGTAGAGCAGGGGTACCTTGCTTGATGCAGCAGCTCCTGGAGTGCTGATCTCCTCGATCTCTGCGCAGGAATGAGTTTAGCTGATTCGATTTTGTCGTGGCTAATTCTTTTACCTTCATCCTCAGCATCTTCGGCCTTGTCTACATCGCCAACATCAGGATTCTTCCTTCCCAGCTCCTGGGGGAGGGAGGGAGGGAGGGAGGGAGGGAGGGAGGGAGGGAGGGAGGGTGGTAGTTGTAGGAGGCGTCTGAGGAACTCTGAGGAGTGTCATCGAGATTCGAGATACACGACGACCAAACTCACTAGGACGTGAGGGTATCCCAAAGATGGCGGCAGACGCTTCTAGCCAGCTAGCATATCCGTAGGCAGTCCTGCTAAGAAGACAAGCACC